CAGCCCACCACTCCCCCGTGTCCTGCGCAGCGCCCGCCAAGCATATCTACTAGCAGATGCAAAAAGGAAGCTGTAATGGTCACGTGTGTCCAGGTTGCCCCCTCCCCCTCCCCCATTTCTCTTTTCCTCTTGGTGGGAAGAGGCTTTTACTGAAGAGTGGCCGGCCGCAAAGCGGTGTGGGTGAGGGGGTGCCACGCCACGCCACGCCACTCCACACCGCGCCAGGCCACGCCGCGCCGCGCGCTGGTGCTCTGCAGTCCCGCCCGCCCGTCCCGTGTCCGAGTTGTTGGACTCCCACCAAGAGCAAACATGGCCACTGCCACGGACAGCATCGCCATGAGTGTACCCTCGGCAAATAACTATTATGCCACCCCGCCCGCACTGGTTCGCCCCGCCGGCCCCGCCGGCCCCGCCCCGCCTCGGCCAGAAGTATAGCGGAACGGTCCAGCAGCAAACTCCCATTGACACGTAGCGGGAGCGGCGCGCCGGGCGTCGCCTGGCTCCAGAGGGGACAACAGCGACGCGGCGTGGTGGTGGTGCTGTGGAGGTAGCGTGAGGGTGGTAGGGAGGGGGTGCACACTGTGGGTAGCGGAGGGAACAGACGAGTAAAAAAAAGGGGGGCAAGATGAGTGTAGCACAAGGCTAAGAGATCGTGGTGGGGGAAACAGGCGACCACAGGGACGCTCCGCTGGGGTGGGGGCTGCTGCTGCTGCTGGAGCTGGATCAGCACACGAGTGCACACGAGCTGGCGGGGCGGGCGGTCGGGCAGGCATGCATGCGAAATAGTCCGGCGAGCGGGCGTCCCTGACCTGCCCCGCCTCACGGCCCGCCTGCTCGCGGGGGCTCTCTCAGCCTCGAGACCACCGGAACACGTCCGCGGCAGCGATCGGATCGGCCGACGCGCAACGCAAACTCGCAAACAAGCGCGGTGAGCCGGTGGGCTGGCAGCCGCGACGCGCCGCGCGCCGCGCCCCGCAACCCGACCCGGTGCCGACGAGCCCCTCCATTGACTGGCTTTAACACCACACAGTTCAATTTGCTCCGGGGAGCGTGTTTGTGCTGCTTGTTCACTTCAACAAAGTCGCTAAACTCCCGCTGGGGCCGAAGTAGCATCCTAATTCGAGCCTCGTAATCCGTAACACTGTTGTCGGGGCACAGGGCGCGGTGGGGGAGCGGGCCGGCGCGGGGCCAAGCCGTGCTCCTGAGGCTGCTCGCCGAGGCGGGGGCAGCGCCAGTGAGCACCAGCGCCAGGCAACCGCCAAATTGAGTATTCCGAGTCGGGTAATTCACTTGCAGTTATTACCACGTTAAGTCAGCGTACCCGGTAAAACAAAAAGAAAAACGGCTCCGCAGGCCGATTACGAGCACGGCGAACGGCGGTGTTGCAGCGCCGTTAAAATGATGTCCGATCCCGGGACGTTAACCGGGACCGGGATGAGGCTAGTGGAGCGTCTACTCACCGAGGAAGCCTGGTATGGCCCCGAGCGGCATGACGAACAGGCTGACGAGCAGGTCGGCGATGGCCAGCGACAGCAGGAAGTAGTTGGTGACGTTCTGGAGCCGCCGGTCCAGGATAACAGCGAGGCACACCAGGATATTGCCCACCCCGCCGGCCAGGATGAAGGCGAGCACGAACAGGAAGCTCCAGTCGTAACGGAAAGCCGTTGGCGCCGTTAGCCCAGGCACCACGGCGTCTCCCAGGACCGCACTGAGCACGCACCGCACGGCCTCGTCGGGGAACAGGGAGCCGCTCGTGCTGTTGACGTCCCCGATGGCAGAGACGGTGGAGGCCACGGCCTCGCCGCAGCGCATCGCAAGCCCGACCAGACGGTCCTGGTCACACGCCGCTGAGGCAGGCAGCCGAACAGCCAGGCCTTCGCCGTGGGTGTCGACCAGGCTGTCCTGGAGGTCTAGCGTCAAGCGAAGGGCCGTGTCTGCCAGGCCACGCGCGAGGCCCGTCGACAAGTTCGTCGACGGCGAAATGTTGGAGGAGCAGCTGACGGCCTCCACCGCGTCCTTGGCCATGACCATGAAGCAGGTCACGACCTCGTTCGCCGCGGAGGCCAGCGAGGATGGAGTGCCGGTGGTGCAGTGGAACATGACGGCCGGGCCCTCACCCTCCACGCAGCGCAACACGGCCGCCCCGGCCCCGGCCCGCCAGCGGCAGAGGTACTCGTGCGTCAGCCCCGCCACGCCCCGGGCCACTGAGTCGCCGACGGCGTCCTCGCCGTCCCAGCTGGCGTTGCCGCTGGCATTGCCGCTGGCGCTGGCGCTGGCCCCGAAGTCCATCGGTGCGCTGCGCTTGGCTCTGCTCCGGCGCGGTCCCGCTCAGCGCAGCTCAGCACAGCTCAGCGCCAGGCTGAGCCTCTGGCCGAGCCTCTGGCTGAGCCTCAGGCTGGACCGGGCCCGGGCCAGGGGTCGGCGCACCACATCACATGTCGTCCCGGGGGCCCCCGCGCGCCGCGCCGCCCCCGCGGTCCCTGCCGGCGTTACCGGGGCCTGCGGCACGGCCTGCGGCTCGGCCTGGGCGGCCGGCCCGGGGGCTGCGGCGGCGGCGAGGCAGCGAGGGGCGTCCGGACAGCCGCGCCCCCGCCGACGAGGTCGCCATCCTGCGTGGCTCCGCCACGCTCCGCCGCCCACACCTGGAACACGTGCAGAGAAAGGCGCTGTTGAATGGGTTCCAGTTTAAGCATCTCAACCTGCGCGCGCACGCGCGCGACATAAGCGCCGACGTGCCAAGGGACAGCGTACCCCAAATCGGAGTCGAGTTGTTCATGTTTTTTTTTGTTTTTTTGTTTTTTTGTTTCTCCTCCCTAAACGGAATACTGTCCGGTGGCCGGCCCGTGCGGGTGGATTAATTTTTCAGCGGTCAGAGGCAGGGCCATGAAAGTAAAGGGCTCATCTGCATATGGATGAAATTGCCTTGCACTCTACCCCTTATCTCCCTCTCCCCCCTCACACGGCCGCCCCCGCCCGCCGGGCCCTATGCCTAGTACTGTGCAACGACCAAAACGCTCCAAACTGCGGCAAACGTTTTCAGAACGCTGTTGCAGCTGAATTAATAATGCAATTACTCCAGGCTGCATGAGATTGCGTCGATACCTCGTGCGGTCCTCGCGCGGTCCACGCGGGCCCTTGTCCCGCATGTCGCTCCGAAGACCGCGTGCAAACGCGTGTCGACAGGAGCACCATTATAATTTCACTACACTGTCGCAAAACAAAATAAACTTTGGATTCGTGCGGCGACAGCAACAGTGATCCATGCGCTGGGTACGTATTGGCGTGAGCCAGATAACAGCCAGATTTATTGAAAAATATTTTGCGAAGAGAGCAAGTGCTAGAAATGAGAATTCCCTTTTATTTTGACGAGAGGCGGCAAATTCAAGCAATGCAATATGCACCACACCCCTTTCACAGCTTGACCGTTTGCTGTTTTTTTGTGCGTTTATGTTTGCCCAGCTCGCCTGGGCCCGCCTGGACCGGACGAGGGGACGAGAAATCAACGTGGGGGCGGCGCCGGTCAGCGGGTCGGGGTCGGGGAGGGGGTGGGCGAAGAGTTTGCCGGCGGCGGGCGTCCCGCTGCAGAAAAAAATTCAAAAGGACCCACCCGCACCTGCTCGGCTGCTCGATTCGGTAGATTACTCATCGCCAAATCCAGCTATATCCGACGCACCTCGCACCGCGAGGCAGCAGCCAAGCGACACGGTTGGATTATTTATGAGGCTGTTACTCGGCATGGCCCAGCCCCAGTCCTCTCCGTGTAGCATGGATGTATAGCCTTCGCATTTCATACAACTCGATTCTAATGGGCCGAGTCGGGGCATCCCGCCGGCGGGGACTAGACAGGAGAAGCAATCCGATAGAGAGGTAAGGCCCCGAGGGCCCGGGGAGAGCCGAACGGCCTCCCTCGCAAAGCTATCCTCTTCGGTATCTTTAAGTAATTTTGGTCCCCATCTGGCTTGGCAATAGACAATTACTTTTTTTTCTTAAAGTAGAAAATTTAATGGCGATAAACAAGTAACAATAACACCCGAAATGAGGAAGCTGTCCGATAAGAGTAACCCCTGAGGAGGTGGCGTGGTGTAGCGCCCTCCCTAAAGAAGAGCGACAGCTTAAGAGAGGTTATGTTGCGTGTCGTTATATTTGAAATAGTTTAGCACAGGCCTATGCATCTGGCATCCTGTTATCATCTTGATCGAAGTTAACTACGACCGTTGAGTCACATCATCACTCAGTTAAAAGTACCAATGCAACATGTCCGTACACTAACCTCTAGACAACGACGCCGGGAAGACTTACTTTTTTTTCGGAAAGCCAAACTTCACAGAACCAAGAATCACTTTTTGACACAAGAATGATACTCCAATATAATTTAGACCTTTTTTTACGAAAACCTTGTCGGCCGATGACCACACTACCACTCGCAGCAAAACACCAGTATGGTCGCTTTCGCTTGTGCTCTGGTTAGCTTAGGGACGGAGTTACGCCACGCCACCTCCTACGGCCTACCTTCTTCTTGTTCCTCTTATCGAGCAGCTTCCTCATTATATCTTATTGTACACCCAATTTGCCTTAATTTGTAAGCAACTTGCTCTCATAACAACAAAATCTCTGTGAAATGTGAGCACATTTTTTTCTGAACCGTTGATCAATAAAGCACCGGTAAAGCTGAAATGCAGAAGAATATGCGGGGAAGAAGAAACAGGAAATCGCTATGCTTTAACATGGTGACTTCCGTTTTCTTGTTCCTCGCATTCTTCTGCATTTCGGCTTTACCGGAATGGTTTATTTTCAAGTAAAGAAACACACTGTGATTTTAGGTGTATCGTTCCACGTCCGTGCACCGCACCGCCACACTTCATTCAATAAGCTCCGCGCACCGAGTCTATAAGGAGGGCGTGCGCGTGCGCCGTCGATCACAACAGAGTCATCGTTAGAGGGCCTGCGCTCCTCCTGCCCCGTGAGCTCCACCCGCCGCCCGTCGAGGACCACCTCAAGGGCTCGCTGCTTGCTGCCGCTTGCTGCCGCTGCAGCAGGGTCGGGTCGGGAGATTGAGAGGCAGAAAGGGGGAAGAAGTCGGCCCAGCGAGGAGGGCAGGGAGTAAGTAGGGCGGCCGGGAGGCGCACAGCGCACGGCGCACACGGCAGCGCAGCCCCAACGAACTGCTCGAGGTGTGTTGTTTGTTTACTGCCGGGCAGCGAGCGGGGCCGGGGCCCCCTCCTAGAGCCGTCAGCAGCCCAGCACAGCCCAGCACAGCCCAGCAGTGGCTCGGGGCAGCAGATGCCAGCAGCAGGCCGGCCAATCAGCGAGCGGATGAGCGGAGGCAACCGCGCCGCGCAGCGCACCCCGGCGAGGAAGAGCGACGCGCAGGCCTGCTTCTTTAAGTGGCAATGATAGGAGTATCGTTTCGTGTCTTGTTTTGTTTTTCGTGTGCAGATACAGTAGCATATCCCGCACTGTAAAAAAATTGGCAAAAGGGGCTAAGTCTGGATGGACATGATGGGGACAAAATACGTATGATGAGGACATGAACCTTAATCAATGTGTTCTTTAATTTCAGTACATTTTTCGTGCACTTTTTCTTTGGAGTGAATTGCTCTCAGTTGCGCTTGTGTATTTTACATGAGGTTACTGTATATGAAAAGCGAACTTTTCTGGGCGTGGGAATTTAGGAATACCCCTTCAAATGCTTCCTGGACTATTGTTACAATTAAAAGTTTTAATGTTTTAAAATGATTATATTGGAAACTTTCTCCTGTCCAAATAAATTCATTTGCGCGCGCTCCAGACCAGGTGTACGACAGATCTTATTACAGTTATTCATTACTATGGGACCTATCGCAATTCATCACCTTCCGCATGACACTCGTAAGTATGCAAATAAGTGCTGTTAAACGGCTGCAGTGTGTTTTTCCCATGGACAGAACTGACAGTCTTCAACGTGACGGCACTCGCGTCGGTTTTCATGAACGCGAGGAAACGCACGCCCTTCGCCACCGGTATCGAGTTGCCTCCAGGAGGCCCTCCAGGAGGCCCCCCTGCAGCCTGCGGCCAGCCCCTGCCGTCCACCCTCATCAGCCTCGCCGCCCGCGCCCTGACCGGCCCTGACGCTGACGCTCCGGAGCTGCCGGTGCCGGGCCAATCCCACGGAACTCTATCGTTGAGCGGGACCACTACTTGTAACGCGATAGGGGTAAAGCGTCGGCTAGTGCAGCCCCCGCCCTCGCTCGCACCAGGCGCGCCCCGCCTCGCCGCGCCACCCCTACTGTGCAGCCCCCACGCCGCCCGCCCCCGGCGGGCCCGCGGGACCAGGGGGGCTCAAGTACCCAAGGCACACACGATATGTTTGGCAAATGTGACTGAATTGGGAGGAGCAACCCCCGGGGAAACAAGTCCGCCGCCGCCGTCGTCGTTGTTCGCTGAACGATGGCGCGGCGGCGCCTGGGGGCAGGCAGGGGGCGCAGAGGCGCTCCCGGGGAGCGTGACTGACGCCGGGAAGACGTATGGAGGAAGTGTTTTTCCAATGGGGAGGGCGCCAAAGGCGTGCGGAAGAGAGGGCCCGCGAGTTGATCGAGGGATGAGCAGGTGAGAAAGCAAGGATCAGGAGGGAGGAGGCGAAGGGAAGGAGGCGGCGGCCCTGGAAACACGAACTCTGGTCGGAAAGGGATCCGGCCGGTGGTGCTGGGCGAGGCCGTAGAGGCCGTCCGAGCCGACAGCGCAGGAGGCCCGGTCCGCAGCGGCCGAGGCACCGGCCGAGGCACCGGCTACATACCGACTGAGCTGCGGGCTGATTTATGAATTGAGCAGGACAGGTCGTGTTGTGGGGGGTTGGGGTTGGGGGGGGGGCATGATATATACTGAGGCCCCCTCCTTTGAGGCGGCGCGAGCCGGGCCCTCGGCCCCTACTCTACTTTGCACCCCGCCGGCCGCGACCCGCTCTCGGCAGCACGGCCGTGTCCGACACGGCCGGCCAGCACTGGCCCCACCTACACGAAAGGGAATACAGGAGCAGCACTGTATTACAACAAGAAGCCCCGCAGGCAGTTCCTTTCGTTCGTCTCGAAACAAAAATGGTACATTAAATCGTTTCAGTTACGGTGCTCCAACCACAGATATAAAGTTGCAGTCAAAGCGATAAAAAAAGCACCGTCATCATTCTCGTAAAAAGTAAAAATAAGAACGCTATCTTAGAAGCGTTTCTACAGCGCCGACGTTTTAGTTCCACCTGGTGAGTACAGGCGGCTCTGGGGGGTGATGCCCAACCAAATCTTTCATCGGCGCTATTTTGGGTCGCAACAGGATCACCCGCCGGTTCAACGGGCAGGCAGGCGGCTGGCCCTGGCCCCCAGGAGGCAGGCCGCGGAGCCGCCGAGGCTCCATGGCTTGTGCGGCACGTGGGAGTGTGTGAGCATGAGGCGGAGCCGGACACAGCCGGGCAGGGCCGACAGTCTCCACCCGTCATAGTACTACCAGGGAAGTAGCAGACGTGCATTCGTCGCGTGTTCAATAGCGCGCTGCGAGTCTATGGACGGAATTGCGCGAGCGCTGGCGCAGAAAGAATATAGTCTTCTTGTGAGATGAACCCAGGCCAGGCAGTAAAATAAGAAAGGAGGGAAACACATTTGAATAAATTAAGGGGAGG